TATGACCAAAGAACAACAGGAAGAAGCAAAGCGGAACTATTTGGAACAGGTTCAAAAGGTTTTAGACTTCAGCAATCTTGGTGAAAATGAGCTTCGTGATAAGATCAAAGAAATTCATCAACGCATCTGCAGGCTTGAAGCCGACAAGTACGATCTTGAAAAGCGTAACGAAAGACAGGAATATGATGTAAGTAAGAAATGATATAAAGATAAAAATTTAATTATTGTAATATACCTCACTAAAAAAGCATATTTTTTTAAATATGTTGCAAGTTATGCAGTTGAACTTTTGCCGTGGAAGAAACTGATATGACCATTTATAGCTCCGTGAACTTAATGAACGTCAAAGGCAAGTTGCACGTTCAAAAGCTGCCAAGAAAGGTCTTGATCCAGCAGAAGCCAACTCTCGATATCCGGTTTTTTATTAATTTATTTTTTCTTTTTTACTGTAAGCGCGTACACTACTTCTGAACAACCAGTAGTAACCGATACAATGAGTGTACTAAGTTTTAATTTTAGCCAAAGATTTCGATAGTCAGTAAATATGATCGACAAATTGATCGTCGTAATTTCAAGGAGCGTAGAGCAGTTTATGAAAACGTAACCATTCAATAACACTTATTTAATCTTTAAAACTTTAGACTTGATAGATGTGCGATATTGCAATATTTTACCGGTCAATAATTGTATGTCATTACAGAAGAATGCATATCCGTGCTTTCCAAATGTACCTCCTCCACCGGCTGTTTATGCAAAGATAATAAAATCTTATGACAATGAAGAAAATAAAGTAAGTGGGTGGATGTAACAAAAGCAAAATATTAAATTTCTTTTACACTTATAATATTTCTACACGATGTAAATATAAGAATTTAACAGAATTAAAAAAAAAAAAACAAAAACTCCACTGATAACTTTGAAGGTTTAGGTGATGAAAGCTTAGGCTTTGAAAAGGATTTTAATTTGGCCAACCACTTGTTAACAAACTTTTGTTGTCAGTTTTACTCCGTATTCTTTTTGTTCTTTCACAGGCCTCTGACCTATCTTACCCTTAACTATAACAAATCTAAAAAAGAAACAAGCAAAAAAACCTGTTCTTTTCTTCAACTAGCTCTTCTGATCACATCAAAACTCCCTATCTTTAAAACCACCTATCTAAGTACTTTTAAAACTGTGAACAAAGCTATTGTTATACCGAAATATAAGCAGTAAACCTCTAACAACGACCACGTAAAACTTGTCCTATGCACTTATTGATAGTTTTCTTGTTCCAAAACTGACTGCAACATATTTTTCAGGACGATGACGACGTCAATGAGGTTTGAAATATTATCATGGTTATTCTTCTTTAACACACACACAAAAAAAAAAAGAAAATTATTGTTTGAATAAATCAACAACAACTGCAACTTTAAAAGTCAACAATATTAAATAGTGATAATTAGATTATTTTTTTTTTTT